GTAGGAGGGCCTCTGTCTTATTTTGTATGTCACATACACGGCAGGTGGTCTCCTAGATTTAGTTAGGTCCAAATTAAGTGGTTTTATTCAGGTTGGATGTGAGAAAGCCGCATCAATGTTCAGGCTGGGTTCGTTCAGTAGCTAGGTTTGGTTTACTAATTGGCCATTGCGAGTTGCGACTAGAGTTAATCTTATGCTCTGTATGGTCGCTGGATTTCTTGTGCATTTGTTTGTTAGTGTTGGCTTGTTTCATCTCAAATTTGTTGTTTATTACTGAAGATGAAGATTGTTGGACTTGACTGATCTTTTGAGTCCTATTTTTTATCTACTGAAGAAAATGGCATGCTCCCTTTGGTAGGCAAAGCATATAATTGTGGTGTGTGAAGTTGTAAAATGGAATTAACGGGATAATAAGAACGAGAACATGGAACAGTACTAGGTACTTGTATTTGTGATTAAATCGGTTGATGTGTATGTTGATTCAGTATAACATTGTCTGTTTGTGTTGATGCTAGCTATGCCACAATTATATATCATAGGTTATGACTGTTTAGTCCTGATTTCCTAGTTTTTTTCCTAGTATGTACTGTAATTTATGTTGTCTGCCATTGTAATTTCAATTGTTCACTTTTGTAAATTTTGATTGCTTTTAATGTAATTCGAGTGATCTAGCTTTGTAATTCCAGTGGTGTTATGAGTGTAGTTCTAGCACTTTTTTTCTTGGTTTCTACTGTAATTTTAGGGGAGTTCCATTGTAAATCGTTTGTAATTTTTTGATTTATTTCCGCAGTGATATCTCTATATTTTGCAGTGGCTTACTAGTGTATTTTTTATCAATTACGACTGTAATTCCAATGGTTATAGGGATCTAGCTCTGTAATTCCAGAGATGTAGCTTTGTAATTCTAGTAGTTTTAGTATTGCTGATGATTGTAATTCCAGTAGTTTTATTCCTGGTTACTACTGTAATTGTAAGTGAGTTCTATTTCTATACCAATGTAATTCTAGAGATGTAGCTCTTTATTTCCAATAGTATATTGTTTTAGAGTGGTTTCCAATAGTAAATAGTCAGCTGTATTTTATCAGTATTTTTAGTGTAATATCAGAGTTATTTTATTGTGATTTCAGCTTGAACGTGTGTAAATGTGAGATTGCTCCTGAGTGTTGTTTTCTTATCACTAGATTGCTCCGGACTGCCCTTTTCTTATCACTTTATTTACTCTGTAAATCTTAGTTTTTGCTGTTATTTGTAAGTGAGATCACAGTGTTATTGTTAGTATAATTTTAGTCTTTTTACTATAAGTTGTAAGTGAAATTACAGTGCCAATTGTAGTGTAATTTTAGGTTAGTTACTCTATCTTTGTCAGTGTTTTTACTCTTTAATTCTTAGTGGATTCTTTTAGTGCAATGACTCCTAATCTTTGAGTTTACTCAGCAATTTATAGTGGATTTCTTAGTGTAATTACTTTATATTTGTAGTGTAATTACTGTATAATTCTAGTGTAATTACTCTATCTCGTCAGTTCTTTTCACACTGCAAATTGTAGTGGAATTCACACTGTAATTGAGTGTGATAATCTCTGTTTCATTGATTTACACTGTAAATTCTAGTGGAATTGTAGTGTGGTGTCACCATAATTTTATTAATGTAATTTATTCCCCTCGCTGCGTGCTTGAGCAGGTTGGTGGTCAGGCGTCCAGCGCTCTCCCATCAGTTGCGCCGCCGCATCTCCCGGCCGAGGTCTGCCGCCTGATCTGTGCTGTATCTCCCACTCACCCCGCACCCCACCCCGCCCCTCCAAATCTCTCCCTCCCCTTCTTTTTGCGGGTTTTTTGATGTGTTCTTTGGGTCCTCAGATCGATTTCGAGTAGGTTGCTGCCGGTGATGTGTGCATCGTTAGGGCACTCAGATCCGTTCCCGTTTGGTTTTGGTAGTTAAATGTGATAGCCCCCGCGGCCTCTAGTTGTCCTGTTCGTGCGCTTTGATTAGGCTTCAGGAGAGATTTGTCTGCTATAGGGGATTCATCTTCTATGTGTGGTCGTTTGGATTAGGGCGTGTTTGTTTTGAATCGGCTGGACCGTGTCCTGCTGCTTCTTCACATGTATGATCTTGACCTGCAGTCCAGGCTGCAGCGCGCCAACGCCGCTGGCTTCTGTACCACCAGACCTAGTAGAACCCACATCTGAACAAACAAAACATCTGCCATGTCCGGAATCTACATGTTCCTGTTATCTGTGTTTGATTAGGCAGCTTTGTTTCTTGCTCTGTTATTGTAGGGTCATTTAGGGTTCCAAATCCCATTTAAGTTACCTATTCACTTTATCATGTACGTAGGTAGTTTTCAGTGTAACTTTAGTGGTAGTGGAATTACTGTGTGTTGTCTGTTTATTTTACAGTATATTTTAGTATGTATCTTATATGTAATTGCACTGTTATTTTGAGTGTTTTTATCAAATGTATTTTTTAGTGGTTTAGGTGTTGCAAATTATTCCAGTGTACTTTTCAATGCATTCTCATTTGTAATTGCTACAGTAATCTTGCTGTAATTACTTTCTTTAGCTATAGTCTTTTTGTTGTAGTTACAGAGTAATCTCACTATAATTAGATAGTAATCGCACTGTTAATTGGAGCATATTGGGTAGAGTTTAATATCCTATCTTTTGTCAGTGATTATGTAGTTTGTAGTGGGTTTTTAGTGCATTTAGTGCTGATATTGTAGTGTCAGTTTTCGAGCTTTTGTCGGTTGCTGGAGACGATTGCAAGAGCATGGGTTTTTAGTTCTTCAGTGTTGCACCTATGTGGTATCTTTTGCTTGAGGCAGCTGGTTTGGCCATCCAGAGCAATTTGTGTTAGTTAGGTATATGCCCTAGAGCTTGTTAGCCTAGGTCGATGTTCCTATCTCTTGTTATTTTTTCTTGAGCTCAATAGCAGTCCATTTATGTCAGGCAGAATGTGTTTCTAGAGCTAGGCCCCCTTTTTTCTTTGTTTAGTAGGTCTTTTTTTAGGTTCATTTTCTATGATTTTCATTTTTTGTGATGTTGGCTTTGCCCATTTTTCGGATGCTAATGCTGGCCGTGGATTTATTTTGCCCCATTTCAATGTCACTAGCATCCCACCGGCCTCATTCTTCACAAATAAACTCAATTCTATCTCTGAAGAACTGCCTGATGAAGATATTTTCATCTGCTTCATGTGTGTTGCTTTCTCCACATTCTTGTGTCCAAATTCTAGCCTTTCGCCCAGCCCCAAATATCTCCATATCTTCAGAGATTGTAGCTCCGCGAAGAATTTCGATTTATCTAGGCTTGTCTATGAGTGACTCCTTAGCAGTATTAAAAAGTTTAAGGATTCTACAAAGGTTGCTTCCAAGAGATCAATCACAGATGGCGGCTGTCACTACGCTTGAGCTGTGACTTATTTCTTTTCTTTTATTCCCTTTTTATGCTGCTTCCTTTGTTTATTGTTATTTAATTATCTTTTCTTTATTTTTCTGCTAGGTTTCTTACCTTGACCATGTGCACTCTGGGTTGAATTATCTTCCTGACAGCAAGCCTAGAATTCTGGTATGGAGAGGTAACAAAGTTAAGGATTTCTCGGAATTACATAAGAGCAACAGTCGTTCGTATGGCAAGAGGCCGTTGAAGCGTTTATCACCATCAGTTTACGCACAGGTTAGTCCTTGTTTGTCTTTTTCTTAACTTTCTTTGTCAACTTTTTTTCATAGTTAGCTCTCACCGAATATTCTACCTTTTTTTTGTGTTCAGAAGTCTTGTGAAAAGTTTTCATGTTCAGTAACAAGTGGTGCAGCTACCTATAGTATCCCCTTTGCCAATAAGATTTCAACATCAGAAGTTCATGCTCCAGCTGTTGATAATGTCTCTTTTGCCTGTAAAGTTGAAACGGCTTATGCTTCACGGTTTGGAAATGAGGTAAGCTTTTTTCTTGCCTTTTTTGCTGTTTTCTCCTCCTTTTTTGTATATCATTTTTTCTGTGCCTCAGACTTTTCAAGATTGGTCGGGGTCCCTTGTTTCAAGATTTATACTGGATTTACAGTGTCCAGTGTAATTCTAAGTGGATTTACACTGTAATTCCTACTGGATTTACACTGTAATTCTAGGTGGATTTACACTGTAATTCCTACTGGATTTACACTGTAATTCTATGTGAATTTACAGTGTAATTCTTACTGGATTTACACTGTAATTCCTACTGGATTTGCAGTGTCTTAGTGGATTTGAACTGAAATGCTTGGTGTAATATTTAGTGAATTTTACAATGTTTTACGGTGGATTCATACTGGATTTACAGTGTTTTCTTAGTGGATTTACAGCGGTATTTATAGTGTAAATCTTAGTGTAATTTTAATGGATTTTTACATTGTAATTCTTAGTGGACGTAAAGATTTTTACAGTGCATTTTTACAGTTCTTTTCCAGATTGTATTTTTCATTTCATTTTGGTCGTGTGTTGTTAGTTTTAGAACAGTGGACATGGGAAAGTTTTGCCTGTAACGTTGGGTTATTTTTCTCCTTTCTTGCTGCTTTCCTGTACGGGTTGAAAAGAGTTGGGTGTAGACCCGTTAACATGATGATGCGAGTGTGTTTAAAAGCCGGACAACAAGGAGCAAACAGAGGACAGGAGACACGGGACAGGGACACTTGTCATCCTTGAACTGGCGGAAAAAATATGACTGAAAGCAAATTTATTTTCATCCAGATGTAAAGTAGACAGTCCCTACTTTTATCTTGTAACCACTGATCTACACTTTGTTACTCTCGTTGAATTAACCACAGAAGACCGGTTCAGAGAAAAATGTCAGCGCGCGTCGCTATAGGGGTGAGCGGCATGCATGGTTCGCTAAAATGCACCAATCTTGAGCTTGGACCTCGTTATCACGCTGATGGGCAGTACGTCAGTGCAGAGATTTTGTCAAACTAAACTCCATGGCAAGTTGCATTTTCCTTTCTTAGACGATTGCTTCCATGAGATGGTTACCTACTAATGAACAGACAGTTCTGTTTCCTCAAGTTGTTAATCGAGCGCCGAGGCCAGGTCAATCCAAGCACTAAATTGTGTTAGTTGTTTTTCTCTGCTATATAAGTACGTACACGAGTCATTTGTAGCAGAGAACATAAATGCTTCCAAATTTGCACGATTGAACATTGCAGGAGCAGAAGAGTACCATGGTGATCAGCTTCAGTTGCCCGGCAAGTAGTAGAAAACTGACATGGTTTTTGGCCTTACTGTTCATAATGGCTCGAGTCTATGGCCAGTCTACTTCTGGTAATGTGCTGCAGCGCACTTCTCAGTTTACTTCAGCTTCCAATTAACACACTTATTTCTGAGTATCTGTCACACTAGTCATGATCTTTCCGTAGATTATAAACTTGAAACACATGAAACTGATACATATTCTCCATGTGCAGGGTTCATAAGCATCGATTGTGGAAACAGTAACACCTACAACGACATCACAACAGGAATACAGTACCAGTCAGACGTTGGATTTGTCGAGGGCGGTTTGAGCTACAACATTTCAGCGGAGGCTCCTGTGGCGAATGAGCAACAAAAAACCCTGAGGAGCTTCCCTGAAGGATCACGAAATTGCTATGCGCTGCCATCCAGCATTGGTAAGAAGTATCTGTTGAGGGCCACATTTACTTACCGCAACTATGATGGGTTGAACAGGACTATGGACGGGTCACCGTTTCTGTTTGGGCTACATATCGGCGTCAATTTCTGGGAGACGGTGAACTTGACGAATTGGAATGATCCGCTAATGAAGGAGGTGCTCACCGTTGCTCCGGGCGACTCCGTGTCGGTCTGTCTGATAAACTTCGGTACAGGGACTCCATTCGTGTCTTCGTTGGAGCTGAGGCCACTGCAAGATGCGATGTACCCTTTTGTGAATTCTTCGGTGTCAATCAGCTACTTTAAACGGTTCAGATTTGGTAACATCACTGACCATATCACAAGGTGAGACAGGACTGACATCCATAATAGTTTTTGGATTGGATCATAATTATGGGTGTTAGTGGTTTTAAATTCGTTCGGCTAGCTAGCTCAACGCATTTCAATTGTGTGCTTACTTGTTTCCTGCATCCTGCAATAGGTTCTAACAATAAATCAATACAGTAAATTTCAACATGACAAGAAATTGGGACTGCCAGTTCCCATATGTACAAGTAAAGACCAAAAGAGTAGTGAGTTTGTGCTATCTATTTACTTGTTTTCCCTTGTCATTGTGTGTGGTGAAGATTTTTTTTTCCCAACCGGGCTCGCACCCCTTTCCATTAATTTTGCAATCAACGGAAATACAATGTTCCAATAGTTTTACCAAGCCAACCACATCCAAAATAAGACTGAAAGGGGAGGAGCGAGCTGGAGCATCGACAGGAAACCCACCGCAAGAGGACCCTAAAACAGATCAACTGCCATAGGACGAAAACCTGACAACACCGACTAGCCACTACCCTAACCTCATCCACGAAAATAGTGCACCACCTGATAGACTACATAGTCTACTCAGGCATAAAGAAGCAACTCAGGCATAAAGAAGCAACTCTCCAAAAGCATATAAGACTCCAGAACGGGCATCAAACCCCAGTGGACTGTAAACCAAGCAGGTTAGCCGATCTGGATCCCCTCTCCATCCTTCAGTCGCATCACACCTCGCGAGTGAGTCCTGTCTGCCAGAGCTGCTGCCACATACGCCAATCTCTTCACGCCCGCCTGAAACTTCGACCTATCTTCTTCCTTCAGTAGTCCTGTCCAGTACAACATAAAAGAACATGCACTGAAAACAGCCTCCAGCGGAGAACGAGCATTATAATTGTCAAAAGTAACTTTGTTTCGAAGACACCATATCCCCCAACACAAAGCCGCAATGATCATCATGAAAAATTGTTTTCCACCAGGGAAAAACTTATACAACCACGCCCAGCTTTGCCAAAGGGAACGCGGGCAACAGGATACTCCAGCCGTAAGTCCCAGGCCCCCCCCAAATTGTTCGAGCAAGAGGACATGTAAAAAATAGATGGTTCGCAGTTTCCATGTTCGTGCAGAAAGAGCAAACAGGATTCTCGGGCCATTTTCTCTTCCTCAAATTATCCCGGGTAAGCACAACATTTTGGAATAGCTGCCATAAGAATATTTTGATTTTCAGTGGGATACTAGCTTCCAGATCCACTTATAGTTAGGGCCAGCTAAATCCCTCTCCAACCACTTATACACCTATTTAGTGGTAAGTCTCTTGTTCTTACACAACTTCCAAAACACTGTATCAGGGATATTGTCCAAAGTATATTTCTTTGCCTCAGAAACTACCCATTCCCATTGATCATTGATCCCCCCAAACAGCCTACGCATGAAACCCAGGCTATAGTTTTTTGCCACAAAATCTGCAATAGTCTCATCCTGATCCTGACATATACTGAATAAGACGGGGAATTTTTCACATAATGGCACAGCATCTATCCATGGCTCATGCCAGACCCTAGCCAAGTTCCCACTATTAACCTTAACGGCCCTCCCAGCCATATATGTCTCTTTAACTTTCATAATTGCTTTCCAGCAAGGGGAGTCTGAAAAACGACTACGAATATTAGCCACCGTTTTATTCTTGAAATATCTGGCCCGAATAATTTGTTGCCACAACCCATCTTTAGTTTCAAGTTTCCACCACCACTTGGTCAACAGGCTAATGTTTTGCTTGTGGAGGTCCTTGATCCCCAACCCACCGATTCTTTTGGACCTACAAACCCTAGTCCATTTCACCATATGATACGCCCGTTTATTGTTCTTCCTTTTCCAAAAAAATCTTCTCCGGTGTTTATCCATTTTCTCAATAAAAGTCTTGTTGAATAGGAACATAGACATAAGATAAGAAGGTATTCCATCTAGGCTCGAGCCTAATAGGGTAAGCCTAGCACCAGACGAGGCTGCATAGGCTATCCAGGCGTCTAACTTTTTTACCATCTTAGCATCCAGAAATTCCAACTCTACATTTTTTAAAGTGGAGTAAGATATCGGTGTACCCAGATATTTCATAGGTAAAGAACCCACCTGACACCCAAACATGTCAGCATATGCTATATCAATCTCATTATCCCCTCCTATAATAATGATTTCGCTCTTGTCAAAATTGATTTTCAATCCGGACATGAGTTCAAACAAATAAAGTAGTAGTTTCACATTAACTGCTTTATCAATATCATGCTCGAAGCAAATGACAGTATCATCTGCATATTGCAAGATCCCAACTCCGTCTTTTATAAGATCAGACGCCAACCCTTTGACAAGGCCATTTTTCTGGGCTGAGTTCATCATCTTGGTTAGACATTCTGCCGCAAGATTGAACAGGAATGGAGAATGTGGATCACCTTGCCTTACCCCTTTAGCACTTTGTATATAAGGTCCCATCTCGTCGTTGATTTTCACACTGACCGTCCCATTTCTCAGGATCTGGTTTACCCAACCACACCACTTTTGGTTAAACCCACGTTTAACATGACATTCTAATAAGAAGTCCCAATTGACTTTGTCATATGCCTTCTCAAAGTCAAGTTTGAGTATCACCCCTTTTTGTTTTTTGACATGAGTATAATGCATAATCTCATGCAAGGATAAAATGCCGTCTACTATATGCCTCCCTTTGATAAAAGCATTTTGTTGTATGCTAAACAGTTTGTGTGCATATTTTTCAATCCTGAGGTCCATGACCTTGGTAATAAGTTTGTATGGACAGCGTAGTAAACAAATGGGTCTATACTGTTGTATCCTATTAGCATCATTTGATTTGGGCAGCAGGGTAATAATGCCATAGTTCAGCCTTTGTACATCTAGTTTCCCCTCATAAAACCATTCAAACATAGCAAATAAATATGGAGCTACGACCTCCCAACAATGTTGATAAAACTCAGCCGGGATGTTGTCAGGCCCAGGTGCCCGATTAGATTTCATGTCAAATAGAGCTTTCTTAATTTCTGCAATAGAAAAGGGTTTAGTCAGTTCCTCATTATCTTCAGAGGAAATTTTTTCTTCCAGTGGCCACATATCCCCATCAATCTGACACAGGTTTCCAGGAGCAGGTCCAAAGAGATTTTTGTAATATTCAGTGGCATGCGCCAAGAGGTTTTTGGTCCCCTCAATAGTGACCGCACCGCACTCCAGTGAGATCATAATATTTTTTCTCCGGCGGCCATTTGCTACTTTATGGAAAAAGTTAGTATTATTATCACCTTTGATAAGCCATCTCTGAGTAGAGAATTGGTGCCAATACAATTCCTCCTCCACATACATGTTATTCAGCTCTAACAAAATTTCCAGTTTCCTGGTATAGGCCTGTCCACATAATCCAACAGTCTCCTCAAGCCCTTCCAGCTCTTGTAGTTTGAGTTTGATAACATCTCTCCTAATCTTGTTGTGCCCAAAAATATTGGACCCCCATCCTTTAAAAAATTTCTTTAATCTCTTCAGTTTTATGTTCAGGATATCAATAGGGTCTTTGGTATATATAGATCTCGACCAAATATCAGCAACCAGAGGTAAAAACTCTGGATTATTAAGCCAGTTGTTATCAAACCTAAAGCACCTACAACCTGGTGCTCTAGATGAAGCCAAACCTCCATTCAAAAGCAAAGGATTATGATGTGATAACTCTCTCACTAGCTTTTTAACTGAAACAAGAGGATACAAGTCCTCCCAATCCGATGACATCAAAATCCTGTCCAATTTCTCCAGGGTAGGGTTTTCCTGCTTATTAGACCAAGTATAACATTCACCTGACATACTGATCTCTCTCAGACCAAGCAGGTGGATGACAGAATTGAACACATCAGAAAAGTGGGACATGGAAGTTTTCTTGTTCTTCTCTCCATTGTGTCTAAGAATATTAAAGTCTCCTCCCACCAAATAAGGAATGTGGGTCCTATTACACATATTAGACAATTCTGCAATAAATTCTGGTTTGTTTTCATCCTGGGCTGCTCCATACACAACCAGCAGAGCCCAGTTGCATTTCTTGCCTTTATCAAAAAGATCCATTTGAAGGATATATTTCCCATGTTTAACATTAATAAGATCAAATTTGTCCTTATTGATACCACCCAAAATACCCCCTGATTTACCCCTAGAAGGAATCCAATCCCATTTGAATTTACCTTCAGGGTCCAATTTCCTAAAATAGGAAGGATTATAAGTTTTTTTCATAGTCTCTTGAAGACCAATAAAGTCCACATTATCAGCACAAATGATATCAGTGAGGCAGGTAGACATGCCTTTCTTGCCTGCCCCCCTACAATTCCAAAGCAATCCTATCATTTATATCTTGCAGGTTTCCCCCTCTCCCTAGTAGGTCTGCCAGGATTCAGGGTAGACTTACCCTCCTTTTTTTTCATCTGACTTCTCGTGGCAGGTCTGTCCATATCATGAGGGGACAAGACCTTCACTTTTTTTCATTGATGGGCATGTTTCTTTTTTTGCCTGGACTGTACCAAAATATAAGGTTCATCCTCATCCACATTTTCGTTATCCCAGGTTAATAACAAGGGAATATCATTACCCAGCCCATCATTTACTGTAATAGGAGCAGTGTTAGTTTCAACCCTTTTATCATGTAACAAGGTCCTAGATACCTCTAATTCCCGCAAAATATCTATCGTATCAAAGCTATCATCAGGAATATGCACTCCCATCATAGCAGCCCGAGCAATAATAACAGTATCATCCAGCGCAGAAAATTGATTATTCGAGTAAGACATTTTTTTTACCTTCAGCATCACGCTTCTTCAGTCTGTTGGTTGCCATCTCCTCCACTCGCTCCATTTTCAGAAATTGCCTGCGCGAAGCCCGTCCTTCCGGAGCCATATTGTCATGCGTTGGCGATCCAGAGGGCGATTCAACAGTGTAAATACTGTGATTATCCCCTCCTTCAGTTGACCCTTCATCAAGAGGCACAATATGAGGCAGAGATGGCCACACCACATAATCTGACAAGGGAGGAAATTTTTCTCCATAAGATTTATCAACATGTTGCATAAACATCGGAGATGGAGGAATAGGAGTTTGGATAATATCCCAAGCACCTTTTTTCATATTGCCAGCCGCAATAGGAGACCTCTCCATCTCACTCTCTGATATCTCATCATTTTTTTCCTCATGATCTTTTTCAGCAGGTGATTCAGAATAAGTCATTTTATCAGCTGCATATTCCCTGGCCATAGATTCGAGCAAAAGCTCTGTATGGTTCCCCTCATCACTTTCCCCTTCCTCCTCACTCTCAGCCACTGCAGATAATCTCTGCGACCCCTTATCATAGTTTTGAGAAGAAAAATTTCCCATCACAGATGCACTGGTTTCCCCTTGTCCATCAGACGAAGCAGGATAGGAATTCATCCTGGCTTTCTTCGGGAAGGAAGGGGATGCACTGCTATCCACAGTGACAGAGGTCTGATTTTTCTCTCCTCCCCCCGTCACAATTTTTTCAAGCTCATAATAAAAATCATAGAACTGTTCTCCCAACATGCCCTCAGCGGTAGGGGGAATTTTTCTCACCTCCCTACAACCCAAGAGAATTCTAACGTACTCAGGTTTATGCAGAGTAGATTCATCAATCTCAAGAGTGATGCCTACCAGTGCTCCTGCATATGCAGCATGTTCAGCACATCTCTTCTCTAAAGGAACGTTGCTAACTCTAACCCAAGCCTTTTCCATTTCCCCCTTAGCACCAACAGATGCGGACCAGGGTTTTAAATTGACCACCGCAGCCCCATCCTTCACAGGTAGGTGTTTCCCATAGCAACAGGCCCTCTCCACCTCACTAGCATTAGGAAATCTCATAACAAACTGATTATGGCCTATGGAACGAGCAGTACAACTCCATTTTTTCTTTCCGGGCTTATGAGCAAAGAACCCATTAAATTCAGATTCAATTTCTTTAGCTGTTGCACTCCCTTCCACAATAGTAATCACTACATTGTTCGTTTTCTCACTTTTCCTAGCAGCACACATATCAGGGATATAGAAAAAACCCTGTCCAGGAGATTGGAAACCACACATAAAAGGAATGCATTCCCACGGCCTCAGATTTTGACAAAGTTGCACCATATGTCCCAGCTTATTGCATTTTTCACAGCGAACCGTAGGGCAGCGAGGAGCAAAATGACCTGGGAGCAGTTGAGGCAAAGCTTGTCGTTGGCCTTGGCCGCTGGATCTGGAGTATCCACCGCGGCCGATGAAGTCGTCTGGGCCGTCGACGTCGTCGTGTTCGCCCGCGCCTTGGCATCTCTGCCCATCGCCCTTGCCGCAGCTTCCCATCGGTCGTCAGCACCTCCGCCAGATCCAGCTCTCCCAGATGATGGCGGCGGCGGATCTAGGCGCTGCCACACCATGTGGTGAGAGGAGGTCGCCTGCGCCGTCTTGCGTCCCCCGCCGAACCCACCGCGCGTCGAAGAATCGCGCCACCCGCCAGATCTGCCTCCTCCACGATCCCCCATCGATGTGGATGAGGCACCGTGTCCGCTCCCGCGAGCACCCGCCACCTGAGCGAACGAGCGCTCGTCGCCGCCCACCTTGCCTCGCCACCACCCGAAGGAATCTCTCGTAGGAGGAGAGGAGGGACGGCAAACCCTAGATTTCTCCCATAGATGCCCAAAAAGCGAAGCGAGATGAGAATCGCGGCTCTCAATAATGGGGGTAGGTGGGGGTGGGGGTGGGGGACATGATGCGTCTGCTCCCTCTCCGCACCTCGCGGCCCCTCCCTGATCTCTGGGCCCGCTATGGCGGTGAGACCGCCATGGATCCGCCTCTCTCACGCTGCCAGATGTACCGCATCCAACCGCTGCATGGTCCCTCCCCTCCTCCACCGGCATGCATGTCCCCACCTCGCGAGTCTCCGTGCGGTGAAGATATCCAACGGACGATTACGACCGGTTCTGGGAGAGGTTTTCCCTCAAGTCCGAAAGCTTGCTCAGCCGGGCCACCAGCAATGAAGTGAGGAGCACCCCAGGCGACGACGACTTCAAGGTACCGCAAGCCATCCTCCAACATGCCACGACCATAGACACGAACTACTCCTACTTCAGCCTTAAAATTGAAGCGGGTCCCAATCAGGACCCAAAGAATCTGCAGCTTCTCCCGATCTTTCACTTCGCGGAGATAGTTGACAACAGTCCGAATAGGACGTTCGACATCTTCAGCAATGGCGAATTGCTGTTCCCGAACTACTCCCCGCCACCATTCCAGGTGCGCAGCATGCAAAAGAGCGGGCAGTTCTTGCATAACCCCGCAGCGTTCTTCAGTCTGAACAGTACACGCAGCTCGAGGCTCCCACCACTGATCAATGCGTTCGAGCTGTACTCTCTCGTCCGGATGGAAAACCTCACCACCGACTCCAACGACGGTGAGATACAACACAAGTACTCCGTACATGCTGCATACGCATTACATATTTACCATGGCTGTGGCAAATTCGCATTATCGTTATGCAGTGTATTCTGTTGGTTGAACAGCATCTCTGGCTCCCTGCTTTTAAACAAATGTTATTGCCTGTCTAGACCCCTGAGCTCCCTGATACCATTTAACAATTTGGCAGGCCCTTCACCAAAGTATGAACCAAATGTTTTAGTAATACACTCGACTTCTGGGTAGGACATCTTTTAGAGGCCTAGCCAGTATATTAGAGAAATGAATCAATAATTTTATTCAGTTCTACAGAAAGATAATGCTTGCATACGAAATATTTTCATAGCTTCTTGATTTACAATTTTCGTCTCTTTAGAAACATATAAGCCCCCATGCCCAAAATATACAGATTTTTTATCCCATTCCAACTTGTTTCCATCGTCTTTTTGTTGTTGTAGTCAATTACATGAAAGAAGTCAAGAAGCACTACAATTTGGCACGAATAAAGAGAGTATTCCTGGAAAGGTTTGACTTGCGACTACCCTAAGAGCAACCAGAATCCAAGAATTGTTGCAGTGTAAGAACAAAACCAGGACTTGTAGCATATACATTTTGAAATCTAAACATCGCAGTTCGATCTTTTTAAACCAGAATCTGAGAATCAAGCTAACCAAAAAATGAC